GTGCCCTGCCGCAGTGCCCTGTGCCGGGCCGCCTGCGCCCGCGGTGAGGGGGGGCGCGCGGGGGATGGGTCGGGGCACCGTTGGGCCTCGGGGTGGTCTGTTGCGACTGGGTGCCGCGCACCCTCCCCGTGGCGTTGGCAGCAAGCGTGAATCGCGTTGGCGACACGTAGGGGTGCACGTGGGTGCCGGTGGAATTGTATTTGTATTCTCTTTGTGAGGCCTCAGGTGGGGTCCTTTTTAAATCTGTTTGATATTGCCCTTTTCTAATAAAATGTTACAAAAAAAAAAAAAGGGTGCAGGTGGACCCCCCGAGTGTGGCGGTGCACCCCTGCAGAAAGGTGCTGCTGACACCCCTGGCGGCACCACCACTGCTGGCAGCGTCTGCAGGTGGTCCATGATCACAACACCGCTGGCAGCGTCTGTGGGTGGTCCATTATCACCGACGCTGCTGGTGGTACCACCACCGACACCGCTGGCAGTGTCTGCGGGTGGTTCATAACACTGCTGCCGACACCACTGGCAGTGTCTGCGGGCGGTCCATGATCACCGACACTGCCAGGTGGCATTTGCATTTGCCACCGCCTGTGGGAGCTCACCACATGGCGTTTCTGACCCAGAGATTTCCAAAGGGAAACCCGCCCCTGTGGTCTGTCAGAGTTGTTATATAACAACGGTGGAAAATACGGTTATTTTCCTGTAGTCCAATAAAAGGTGAAAATGAAGAGCAGGCATTTCAGCGAGGTCTCCAGCCTGTCCAGCGGAAGTCTAAAAGGGTCAGGCCCCGCTGCCGTAGGTGAAGCATTTTGGCCATGGAAAAAAACTCGTTATTTTTCTGTAGTCAAGTAAAAAAAGTGAAAATGAAGAGCGGACGGTTTCAGAGGGGCCTCCAGCCTGTCCAGTGGAACAGGCCCTGCTGTCGCAGGTGAAGCGTTTTGGGAGGTGCTGTGAAACAACAAAAATGCAGCAGCAGGAAATATTCAGAGGACCAAGAGAAGCAAGTGGATAATAAAATGCCCTTCCGAAACAGACTCTGTTGGTGTAACGTGCTGCACGTAACACCAGCAGAGCTTCCCTAGGCCTGAAGAAGGGCCTTTGTGCTCAAAAGCTTCCAAAGAACATTTTTCCACCTATTTATATTGCACCTGCCCAAAGAACCTTGTCTGCCCATGTCCTTAGATTGACACAGCGACTGCCAACAGCCCTACTTCCAAAACAGAAATGCGCACAAATAACCAAGGGCAAGGGTTTAAAACGAAAAAACAGGAAAAGGAGAGAATTGGAAAGGGAAGGCGGTTGTTGCAAGGCTTCCCTGTAAATGGCTTATATGCATATAGGGACCACAATAAATTGTTAAAGGACTTTCTGAGTGTTATGTGGCAAGCCACTACATATTACACCCTGTTTAAAAGGATTTTTTTTAATATAAATTTTGGCAAGATTGTATCATGAGTTAAATCCTATAGATATCCATTAAGTATACTTGTAATGTGACTGAGTGGTTAACATTGAAACTTTTTGAATCTGCAGGAGCAGCAGTTTTTGTTCAGTAATTAAATTTAATTATCCGTATTATGCCTGACAATCTTAGATGTGGGAAGACTGCCAGCTCCTGTGATTTCTAGTTTGATGTTGTTTTGCATAGCACAGTGCTATGATGTACACAATAGATTATCTTCAGTTGACCTTTTATTAGTGTGTGCATGTGCGTGTGTGTGTGGGGGGGGTTAATCGACTAATTTCTTTGCAGCAACATATTAACAATACTAGGTGATTAACATAGTAGATACAACAGGTTCAGGACAAAAAAAATAATGATTTTTCAGTTGAGTTTCTCACCCTGCCTATAGAAGTGTTTTCTAAATTGTTTGCCTAAATTCCGTACATTTCAGAACAACTCTTTTTTATATTTTTGGCCAGCTAATGAGATGGAGGCTCAGTAGATACATATTTGTTGCCTAACATGTTGGGCAAGGTTATGCTTGGCATTCCCTGGGAGGTCTGGTGGCTGTAGAGATGTATGATGCAACTGCTTATGGACCCCCAGAGAGTAAGAGTCACATTACAGTCTCAAAACCAAATGTTGTCCTCTCTCATGTCAGATTCCCTTCTTCCTGACTTCAGTGTAAATTGTGCTATAGATCAATGTCAGTATGTGCCTGTATGTAATTGTTCTAGGTAATTCAGGAGGAAGGCAGACATTTGTTTTTATTCCTGACTCAACATGCTGTGCTGAGCAAACATATTTCATGCACTAGGAGAGCTTGTCTGCATAAATCATGCATACAGATATTTTTAAATGGTATCCTGTGCCTACTCAAAAGTTAGTGTAATCTAGGTCTGGATGTTAGGTAAGGATGGCTTAACATGCAAAGCCTATATAAACCTTGAAGTGACATTTCACTTTTCAAAGAATTTGCCTTCCAATCTGTTGCTGAAAGATTAGCTTCATTATATTTGTTCGGCCATCAGTTATAATACCGAGTTCAACGGTAGTTGTTGCCATGTCACTGTAAGCATGACTGGCCTCAGTGACTAAATAACTTACAAGGATCACTGTTAACAAGACAGATTGCATTGAATTGGTTCCTAGGAAACCTATGAAAGTCACTTAACTTGTCAAGATATGTATAGCATAAATATAATCCACCTACACTGCTGTGTGTGTAATGATTCAATGTTAATAATGGCATTAGGAACAAATGGATACAGAGGAAAAACATAGCTGAGACCCAAAGAAAAAACTGCTTATGCTGAGGTTACCTGGAATGCCAATAAAATTAAAACAATTCATGCTTGGGTATATTTTCTGATTTCTGCCCTGTTTTTTCCAACATTTCAGATGATTAAGTCCAGCAGAATGCATGTGACACCTTCCTTTAGCATGAATTAGATTTGAAAACTTTCCAATTTTGGAGAAGTGTCTTTTTTCCAAATGTGTATGCTTATGTGCATATTGTTAATATGGGGAAAGGGCTCTAGGCAAGCCTGCCAGCAGTAAGTGGGTTATTGGCTGGTAACAACATCTGTGGGAGCAATTCCTGGAAAGAATAC